CCCCCCCCTTCCTATGCTTAATTGTGGCTGGATATGTTATTACTATGAAGAAATTGTAGCACTCCTTGTAATCCTTTTAAATCCCAATTCCAGGCAAAACGTAGTGTTTTAGATATAGTGGGTTAGAGCCCATGTCTATTTTTTCCTGTCTCACTCCTTATTGGGTAGATTTCCCCTTACTTCCTCTTGGGACAGTACGTCATGGGAAATCAAAAACATGTTTTTAGTAGAGTGGGGAAGGGTTAGAATTTTGACAAAAATTTGGTCTGTGTCTCCCTGGCTTGGGTACAATTGCTCCCCCCATTTCTTGTACGGCTTCAGAGACACAGAAAATAAGGGAACAGATGGAATCAAAGAGGGAAATAAAAACTTGACAGAAATTGGAGCTCTTCCCCACGCTATCTAATGCTACAAAATACATTTTGGTGGGATTTAGGCTTTAATGTAGGGGGCCACTACAACCTTTTAATGCAAGAGAATTCCAGAATCTGACCACCCTTACAGTGAAGAAATGCCTTGGCAATGAAAAGAATTTCTCCTAACAGATGTGAACTTTTGTACACATTTCATATTGAAAAACATAAAATGTTGGGCCATCTGCCTGCTAGTAAAATCCACTGAATAAACTGGCACATTTTGGTTTGATTGTCTTCCAGGCTTTATGCAGTGGGTGGTCGAGATGGAAGTTCTTGCCTCAAGTCTGTGGAATGCTTTGATCCTCACACCAATAAGTGGACCCTATGTTCGCAGATGTCCAAGAGGAGGGGTGGAGTTGGGGTCGCCACATGGAATGGCTTCCTCTATGCGATTGGAGGACATGACGCTCCAGCTTCCAATTTAACATCTCGGCTTTCAGACTGTGTAGAAAGGTAACATTTATTTTATGCTGCCAGAGCTGATAGCCAGAAATTTTCTTTTTAATAAAAACAATGTGATTCCATGCTCACTGGAACCCATACATTGGCTGGAGTTCTGAGCACAAGCCAGTTAGAAATGAACACACAAGAGTTGCTTAAGTACTTCACCATTTATTAACTTATGTGCAGTAACTGTAGGGTTTAACAGGTGTTGAAAAGGTAGTTTATTGGATGATTTTATACAGTATATCACTTTTTATAAATTTGGTTAATGCTAATCTGTATATATTTCATACGCCTGATTACATTGAGAAATGTATTACCTGTAAATTCCAAAGCTCTGTATTTGAAATCAGTTTCCTCCTATAGACACTCCATCATGCAGGGTAGCAGAGGAATGTCTGTGACCTCCCTGTAGAGAAGCTCCTGTGAGTTAAAACCATGCAGCCATTGCCATGTCCCCATATCTCATCCACATATTTGCACCCCATTTAGTGGGTGGAGCAATTTTTCCTGCATTCTTCCCTCAGACCGTGCCTATATTACCACTCTGCAGCCAGGGAGCTTGGCAGGAGCCGATTATAAACGGAACATAAACGTATGCTAGTATAACCTTTATTAACACATGGGTGGCATTTCCAGCAAAAAACACTGCATTATATGGAACTTTCTAGATGGCTGCAGTTTTTCAGCTTTTTCAGTAGTTTTTTTTTCAAGTCTGCATGAATAAATTCACCATATTAGAGTATCATTTTTCAAAATCCTCTACCTTTTTTTTTTTTTTAAATTAAAAGCGGTCCTTGAGTTTCAAGCAAGGTATGATGCCTAGGCTGACATGATGCCATCAGTCTGCTGCAGGCAAGAGGAAATCTTTCCCAAGTCTCCTCTTTCCCAAGTCTCCTGTGCCCTTGACCTGAGTGCAGGGGAGGCATTAGGGGTTTAAAACTCCCCTATTGTCTCCATTAAGAGTACTTGTTACTTTCTGGTCAGCCCCCTTGTGATGACAATAAACAATAATGTTAAGTGAAAAAAGTGTACAATAAAAAAAATTTTAATTAAAGTTTTAAAGCCCCCACCCCTGCGCGTACGGCATGCATGCTTGTATTTAAACAATGATTGCACAACACATTAGGTATCAACGCCCATGACAGAATAGGAAGAATAATTCTAGGGCCATCATTTATGATTAACTCTAAGTTGATGACCTGTAAACACTTTTAAAGCATCGTCTACGGACAATTTTGGGTACTGTGGTCTGCCACGGTGTCACAGACGCACTTTGTTTTTAGGGCAGCAACAACAAATCAATTAAACCGATTATAATCGATAATGAGAATTTTTGGCAACGATTTTCATCATCAATTAGTTGCCCTCGCTCTGCTCCTCCGTTCTCCTCCCTGCTGGTTTTGGTTGCAGCGGCCTGTCTCCCTTTCAATCCCCACTGCTCTCCCCGCCTGTATTGGCAGAGGCAGCGGGGACACAGACCACTGCAGCCAGCACTAGCAGGGAGGATAGAACGCTGTGACTCTGCAATCCCCCGCTGCCCGCCCCCTTCCTCCTCCTCCTGCCCGCCCCATTTCCCCTCTTCTGCGGGTGTTCTATCAATCCCTCGAACTCGAGATAGAACAACGGCGCCAAGTCTCCCATCAGCGGTTGGAAACAATAGCCTGCTATCAATCAGCAGAGGAGGACCTTATGGAGTACTTTCTCCTTCAGTTCCCTCCTCTGCTGATTGGCAGCAGGTAGTGGGCGGGTGCAATAGCCACCCTGCTATCGCAGTTTAAAATAACCAATAACAGGCTGACTATTGCTCCAAGCCACTGTCTGCTGTGTTGATATTCAGCTGCCTAAGCAGCTGAATCCAGTAAAGTGGAAAGGTGACACTAGCGGTCACCTAATGGCACCTGAAAGAGAACCTGTCACCTCCAATGTGCCATCACATAGGAGACTTGTGAGCCCCCCCCTCCAATGTGAT